GGGGTTGTGAGCAATATTTATAGCAGCTTGGTTATCACAATACAACCACAAGGGATCTCGGCCATAACACGTCAGCCACACCATGAGCCATGGACCTGTATTTTGCCTTAGCACTTGAATGGGCAACAACATTTTGCTTCTTGCTACGCCATGACACTAAGTTACCTCCAACAAATGCATAGTACTTTGAAGTCAATCTTCTATCATCAACACATCCAGCCGAACCAGCATCATTATACACCTTGATTTTCATATGACCATTATTTTTAAAGAGTATACCATGAGCTGGACATTTTTTCAAGTAAGCAAGGATTCTTTCCACAACAAATAGATGAGTGGTTCTAGGAGAATGCATGTATTGGTTGACAACATTGACAACATAGGAGATGTTAGGACGAGTAAGACATAGATAAAGTAGCTTTCCGATTAGTCGTTGGTACATGACTTTGTCTTCAAGAGGTTTGTCCCCCTCGACAGTTATCTTATGATTCAATTCAATAAGTGTGTCTGTTGGTTTAACTCCTAGTTTCTCAGTGTCCTCAAGGAGATCAAGGACATGTTTCCTCTATGAAATGAAGATACCATGTCTAGAGCAGGCCACTTCAATTGCCAAGAAATATCGCAGGTCATCAAGGTCTTTCACATCAAATTCCTCATTAAGCAATTGTTTGAGAGAATCAATCTCATCAGCATCACAACCGGTCACAACAATGTCGTCAACATACATTGCATGAAGGGTGAGAGAAGCACCATTTCTCTTAATGAAGAGTGTGGTTGGAGTGGGCCTGTACATAACCAAACTTTTCAAGAACCAATCTAAATCTATTAAACCAGGCTCTTAGAGATTGCTTTAAACCATATAGAGCCTTTTGCAATTTGCAAACTTTCTTCCCTATAGCTTCATCATAAAACTAGGAGGTAACTCCATATACACCTCCTCTTGCAAATTGCCATTAAGGAAAGAATTCTTGACATCTAGTTGGAACAGAGGCCATGAAAAATTTGCTGCAAGGGATAGTTGAACTCTAATGGTATTCATCTTGGCAACAGGTGCAAAGGTTTCTAGGTAGTCAATGCCTTAAGTCTGAGTATACCCCTTTGCAACCAACCGGGCTTTGTACCTTTCAATTGAGCCATCTACGTTATGCTTCACAGTGAACACTCATCTGCACCCAACTGGTTTCTTCCCCTTCTGGCTTGTTAATTAGCTCTCAGGTCTTATTTTTAACGAGAGCACCCATCTCTTCCTCCATTGCATTCTTCCACTCAGGTACTGCAAAAGCTTCCTGGATAGACCTAGGATAGATATAATAGAGATGGATGCCAAGTAGGACTTATAGGATGGTGAAAGATGATCATAGGTGATAAACTGAGATATGCAATGGGAAGTAGATGAAGTGCACCGACGCTTTTCCTTGCGGACTGTAATGGGAAGATCAAGATCATCTGGAGGGGGTAGAGGATCAAAAGGTGAGAGTGATGTATCAACAGACAAGGAGGGAGAAGTACCTGAATCTGGAACTACAGAGGAGAGAGGAACTGACCTGGACTGATTATGAGCACCAAAATCAACCTACCTCCACCTCTTGTGGTAAACTCTGAACTCCCTACACCTTTGACAAGCATCTTCATTGCATAACTCTCCTTCAGGAATAGGAATAGGTAGAGGAACTTTAGGACAAGGGCTATCCTTCTCATTGTTCTCCCCTTGAGAAGAAACACCTGGGTAATAAGGGACATCCTCAAAAAATGTAACATCCATGGACACAAACCGAGAGCCAGAACTAGGATCATAACAGCAATATCCCTTTTGATTCTGTGCATAACCAATGAATATACATTTAGCAGCTTTAGGATCAAACTTAGAATGATGAGGTCCTAAAATTTGAACAAAATAAGTGCACCCAAAAACTTTAAGAGGGATGGTGTACAAATCTTTCTCAGGATGCAATAATGAAAAAAGAGCATTCTTATCCAAAACACGGGAAGGGATTCGGTTGATGAGATACACAACTGTATTAATAGCATCCCCCAAAAAACGAATGGGAACATTAGAATTCAGCATAATACTTCTTGCAACTTCCAAAATATGCCTATTTTTTTCCCTCAACTACCCCATTTTGCTGAGGTGTATGGGGACAAGTACTCTGATGAACAACTCCATACTCAAGAAAATTTGAATTCAGATGTTTAGTGAAGTATTCTTTGGCATTATCAGATTTGAAAATTTTGATTCTAACTTCAAATTGAGTGAGGACCATTTGATGAAAAACACGAGTTAAGGTGGGAACCTTATCTCGAGAACGCCCATGATAAACGAGAGTAATCATTGACAAACAATAAGAAATACTTATACCCCCCATAGAAGGAATATGATATGGCCCCCACACATCAGTATGCACAATTTCAAAAGGAGTGTTGCTTCTTTTATTACTCAAAAAATAGGTACAATGTTTTGTAAGCTCACAACTTTCACACTTCAAAAAAGACATTTGAACTGACTTAAACAAAGATTGAGAAACAAAAAGGCTTCGCAACTCCTTTATCACTTCTAGGTGGGTGCTCAAACAGGTAGGTTCCATTCATTTCATGACCAATCCCAATCACCTTCCTTATCACCAGATCTTGGAAAATACAATGGTCAAGAAAGAAGGTTATTGAGCAATTCTGGCTTCTTGTAAGACTACTGATTGAAAGTAAATTAATGCTAAGCTTAGGTACATGCAAAACTGAGGACAAGGTAATGACATTAGAGAATCTGATGTTTCCTTTGCCAGAAATGGGAACAAGGGAGCCATCAACAATGGATACTTTATCTCTGCCTGAAGATAGACTGTATGAAGTGAATAATGAAGACAAGCTTGCCATATGATATGATGCACCAGAGTCTATAATCCAAGTAGGGTTAGTGTTACCTGGGGTAGAGGCATGAAAAGTAGTGGCTCTTGTACCCGAGTGGGCAAAGGCTGATGTGGAGGAAGGAGGTTCCATGGTAGCAAAGATAGGTTGAGATGATCCTGCAAGCCCAGCTTCATTCTCCAATTGAGTCAAAGCTGCCCTGACTGCAACTAAGGCCTCCAAAGAAGTAGACCGAGGTCCTTGAAGGGAAGAACCATCTGATGTAATAGCTGTGTTTGCATTTCCCTTCTTATTCTTGAGTCTTTCTGGTACAAGATTGGGGTGAAGCTTCCAATAAGTGTCTTTTGAGTGTCTAGGTTTTCTGCAATATTCACAAAACACACATTTCTTTCGGTCTTTCCTTCATTCTTCATCTCTTTCTCCCTCTCACCACTATACTTGTGTCTTGTAGCTGCTAATGCCACCTCCATTTGAGAATTTTGTAGCATAACCTTCCTCCTACTCTCTTCACTATGTACTAGGGAGTAGGCTTGAGACATGGTAACATTTTCCCTAGTGAGAAGCTGCTGTCTAACAATGTCAAAATCAGAATTCAGACCCGCAAGAAACTCAAAATCTCTATTTCTCTCAACTAACTTATTATAGGTTGCTACATCCTTGTTACTCTCCCACTTAATTGTTTCAAGATGATCTATCTCGTGCCCTAAGGATTTCAGAGTAGAGAAATAAATTGATACGGGTTTCTCCCCCTGCTTCAGATTGTTCACTTCAGTTTTCAACTCATAAGCCCTAGCCACATCAAGTGGCTATGAGTAAGTCTTTCATATTATCCCAAATATCCTTGGCTGTTTTTTCCCAAAGGTAATTTCTGCTAATATGGGGCTGCATTGAGTTGCACAACCATGTCATCACAAGATAATTTTCTTGAATCCATTTTGCATAGGAAGGGTCATCCTTGGCTGGCTCCTTAGTGTCTCCAGTCACATAGCCTAACTTTCCTCTTCCTCCAATGGCCATCATGGCAGATTGAGCCCACTCCAAATAGTTAGAACCATCAAACCTGATTGTGGTAATCTGAAACTGGTTGTTATCAGTCATACTAAGAGCCCTTTCAACACCTTTGCCAGTAGGTTTCTGTTCACCCCCAAAGAATCCCATGCTGAGTTCAACACAGAGAAGAAAAGGAACACACTCAACTCCCCTTTCGAATAAAAAAGGCTGGGGACAGAAGTGAAAAGACTACCCAGTCCAGTAGATTTCAAAAAAAGGCAGCCACACCTCACAGAGATTTCAAAAAACCCTACTTCCTGTTACAAACTTCAGGAGAGTTGAAAGGACTACCCAGAAACTTCTGGGCAGCACCTTCAATCTGAGATTTAAACCCTAAATCTCATCTCGAAATAAGTTTTCTCTGATTCTTCCTGACTGCTGGGCAATCTCCAAGAACAGAAGTGTCCTGGGCAAGGCTTCGAACTCCACCAATCTCCAAGAATCAGGCCATGGACAGAACTAAATCTCCAGCCCTATTAAAATCTCATGTAGCCGGCTGGTAAGAGCTCACATGAGATTCACGAGCAGAACTAAACCTGCTCTGATACCAACTTGAAGTTACTGCTGTTAGCAGAACTTTTAGGTTGAAAAGTAACCCAGAAATCGAAGAGAAGAAGAGAGAAATGGGCGAAAAATGTTACATTACTGCTGCCCTAAGCAGTATTATTTATATGTGTTTAACATAACATTAGGTAAAAGGACAAAAATGCCCTGCTACCTATAACAGTACAAGAAAGCAAACATAAGCAACAAAAGACTGAACTTATGGGACCACACGTAAATATATCAGGTCTGGTCCACTGTATCACTACAAAATGAAACAAAAATAGAAAAACAAAATGAAATCCCTTCCTCTTCTTATTCTTCCTCCTCTTTAGGAGGCTTATGCCTCCTTGTACTTGAGAGGCTTATGCCTCTTATGTTCTGAACTACGCCTGATGCCTCCATCTAGTGGAACATCTTGCATCATGCCCCTCCACATTTTAAAACATTGTGCTGGAATAATTCCCTGTTTCCATGTTGTTTATACTATGTACCTTCAATTCTGAATCTCATTTTTACACATGCTGACCGATAATTTACTTATCTAGGAAGATGAAGCAAGAAAAGGAGAGTTGGAGGCAGATAAAGATAGGATGATGAGAGAATACAGAGCTCAATTAGATGCTGAAAGGGCAAGCAAGCTTGCCCATGGGAGAAACCATTCTAGCAGTAAGTCTGGTCACAAAAAAGGTAAGTGTAAGTTAAGAAATGCAGTATGCTAAGTTCTTTTTATTTGTAGTATTTTAAGTAGCTTCTTTTCTTGATTTGATACATGTCCATGCAGATAGGAAGGACAAGGATTTGAAGAAAAGGAGCAGCAAAAAGAGAAAGGTTCTTCCATTTAACAACTATACCATTTCATGTGCTCATTTTCTTTTCCTGTGAAAAGGGTTAAATGCATAAATACCAAAGTGCATTTTTTTCCTTAGATTAAATTATTTGTAGCATTATTTAGTAATGCAACATATCAAAGAAACTGCTAACTCCTGCACTTCTGACATAGATGGCATTCCATCTTGTTGAACTTTGCAGCCCATCAACAGGTTCTCTTGGATTATTTCCCCTAACATTGCATGTATTACATGATCTTAAGCAATCATTTGAAAATATGGAGTAATGCTATCTATTGGATGGCTAGCATAATCCTACTACAATTTGTTTTGAGAGATTTGGCAGGCCATCGAATAGTGACTGATGGATTGATTGGTCCACGTATGTATGTCTATGTTTGTATTTTGAGTTGTGTTAGAATACTACATGTTTGCTTAGAGAGTGGGTGGCAGGGCATTTATGTCCATCCACTCATATTTTACTTAGGGTAGATTAATAATTTTTCCTAATATAATCTATTGATCAAATAAAAAATAATTTTTCCTAATGCAATCAGTTTCCTTTTATAAATAACAACCCGATGCAGGTAGGAGTTAGTTTTTCCTCCCCATCAAAACTGCTCTTCTTCTCCTCCATCTCTTCTTTCTTTTCCTATTTTCTGTTTTCTTAATGTTTTATAAATAAGAGACCATAGATTTGATTACATGGTATTGGTGCTTTTCCTTGTATTAGAGTTTGATCAGAAACAGTGTGTAATTTGGTGTGTTTTTAAATGGTCAAAAGCAGTGGATGTGCTGTGCGTGAGATTGTGGTAAGATTCCCTCTGTTTGAGAAATCAAAGAGGGGTATGCTTGTGGTGGTTGGTGGCTATATAAAAAGAGATTAAATTTTCAGAAACTGTGTAATAGAAGAATGATGCTAGCAATTGATTTTTTTTTTTAATCAGAAAGGAAAATTTTATTAACTGAAAATTGCGATTAATAATCAACCCAATAACAAGTTTACAATGATGCCCAAAATGGTTCCTGTCTCATGACGCCATCCTGTTTGCAGTTCTTTTCGCCCACTTAAATTGAACATTCAAGTCCTCTGAAATAGTTTCATCACCATCATCATCATCCATGCCTTATCCCAACTATATGGGGTTGGCTACATGAATCCTGTTTCGCCAATTCTTTGAAATACTTTCCACTTCCCTAAAGGAATGCCTAAATGTCCAGGGAACATGTCTGCTGCACTTTGCCCATGAGATAATAAACTTTGAGTCTCCTTCCACCTCTAACTGTTGGAAACCCAATTGCTTTTCTAATTTTAGGTCTTGCAACAAGGCCTTCAATTAAGCTTTCAAAGAATTTCCTACTCCAGTAGGCCCTGAATAAAAAGTCACCACCCTGCCTTCAAAGTTCCTGAAGACCCCACCTAGAAATTGATTACAGATTGCAGACATATGTGCTGGTATATATAGCAGAATTGGTGATGCATGTGTGTTGTCTACCTGTAGCAGTGATTAGCAAGTAATTCCCAGTCCAAATTCTGAAGTCTGATTTGGTGTTATATGTTTTAAAGCAAGTGTCAGGTCTGGTTTCTAGTATATCAGTATACCACAAAATTAGTTACTTGTTTTGTTTGGGTGTTTTAAGTACGGAAATAGGTGGTGTATAAGGTATAGCAGTGAAACCAGATCTGAAATTATATTTCGATAATCAGAATGGCATCATATAGTGGAGAAATCAAGCCTGGATTAGTTATGAGTTCAGATCTCTTTATTTTACAGATGGGGCCATTACTTGGTGCAATGATAAAATCTCAGGCTGGCAAGCATGAGATGCAGGTTTGAATCTGAGGGCAGCTTTTTTGTGTGAAAAATTCCTTCAGATCTCTTTATTTTACAGATGGGTCTCTAACTTGAAAGTCAATTGAAATAAGAGCTGTGTAGCGGGAATAAATAGGCAAGAAGAAGAGGTGTTACCTGTGGCAACATCTTTAGGTTGTGGGGTAAGTGACTGGCCTTTGATATATTTGGGTTTCCCTCTAGGGGTAATCCTAGGTTTGAGAGTTTTTGGGACCCAGTTTTGGAAAGAATCACAAAGAAATTACCAAGTTGGAAGAGAAATTACATCTCACTAGGGGGTAGAATCACTCTAATCAAGTCTACTCTGGCCAACATACCGGTATATTTCTTGTTCACTTTCAAGATCCTTGTTAAGGTAGCAAGTCAAATTGAAAAGCTGATGAGGGATTTCTTTGGGAACCGGGTGAATCAAAGAAGGATCATCTAGTGAAGTGGGAAATTGTCACTGGGAAGCGAGAGGATGGTGGTTTAGGCATTGGTTATATTAGGTTAAGAAACCTAGTCTTGTTAGGAAAGTGGTTATGAAGATTACTCTTAGAGTAGGAGAGCTTGTGGCATTAAGTGGTTGGGAGCATTCGTGGTATGGCAGCAAATGGATGGGATGCTGGCATCGACCCCAGGGCCCCTCATTTATCCCCATGGAAAGCAATAGTTGGAATCCTACCTTCTTTTCAACCTTCATAAGGTATGATGCTTGCTCAGGTAATAAAATTTTGTTTTGGGAAGACAATTGGGTTGGGAATGCTCCTCTTAAGGATAGGTTCCTAGTTATGTATTCTTTATCTTTAAACAAATTGAAGGTTATTTCTTCTTTTCATGTGAATGAGGGTTCTTGGGATTTGGGTTTGAGGAGAGGGTTGAGGGACTCAGAAGTGGCTTTTGAAAATGAGCTGTTCTCTTTGTTGGCTGTTTTTCTAGGCTAGTCTTGCTCAAATAATAGAATATGGTCAGAGTCCTCAGGGATATTTTCTTGCTCTTCGTTTTTCAATGCTTTACTTGGTTCTGTTGTTGTCCCTACCCCTTTCCCTACAAAACAAGTGTGGGATACTCTTGTTCCACCATGGTGATCTCTATATTAAGATCATAACTACAAGCTTTGAAGATCTAAGGTGATCTCTAGGTGTAGATCACGACCAAAGGTCAAAGAATTAATTCAAAGGTTGTAGTGATCTCTAGGTAGGGATGTCAATTTTCCCCATCCCCATTGGGTACACGACCTTCCTGACTAGATGGGGTCGAGGATGGGGAATGAAGTCCCCACCCCACCCCGACCTTGATTATATATATATATGTTTAAAATATTATTTATATTTTTAAAATTTCTTCCATTTTAAGCAAATTTATTTTTCAAAAAATTCTGATAATTAAAAAATTTTGTGGATTTGGGTCCCTACAGGAAATCCACCTCCGTTGGGGATCAGGGATAGAGAACAATTTTTATCCCTGGCGGCGGTGATTGGGGTCGGGGACGGGGATTTATTTCTAAATCAGGGTCAAGGATGGGGAATATGATCCCCACCCCAATCCTGTCTGATTGTCATTCCTATCTTTGGGTGTATATCACACTTAAAGATGAGAACCAAGATTGACAATTAAGAATCCTAAAGATCATCATACAAAATATGTAAAGATTATGATGATGAACGAAAGATTTGAACATCCATCAATATTATGAGTTAAAATGAACAATTTATAAAGAATGTTTAAGATCAGCGGTTCTGATGATCTCTAGCTGTAGATCATCATATAACACTTACCAAGGTTAAAATCAACAATCGACGATTTTAAGAATTATCAAGATAGATGATTAAAATTTAAAGATTCATAAAGCTAATCAAGATCAATAGTTTGATGATCTCTAAGCATAGACCATCATCAACAAAGATTATATAGCATCAAAAATCAAAGATTAAAAGAATTATCATGATGGATACTTAAAGATAAAAAATTTATGAAGATTAATCAAGATCAAAGGTTTTGAGGATCCCCAAATGTGGATCATCATATAGAACTCATAAATATTAACATAAAAAATTGAATTATCAAGATAATGATTCTAATGATCTCCAAGTGTTGATCATCATATAGAACCTGTAAAGATCAATAATCAAATATTTATCAAAATCAAAAGTGGTGTTTATCAAAAAATATTTATCAAAATTGATTGTCAAGATTATTAAGGATTGAAGATCAAAACTACTTGAAATAATTAGGTGGTTTCCATGTCCATGACAAAAGGAAGTACAATTTGTATTCTCCTTGTAGACTAAGCCTTTATAACACATGCATAACTCTTTTAGGGCTTGTTGTTTGTTCAAATGGGCTTTACTGCAGGCCCAATAAGGGAGTGTTCAGTAGTGTGGTATTTTGTATTTCACATGGTTTGGTGTGTTTGGATCTACTAGACTCCATTGTAGTGTGGTTGAAATCACATTGTTGAGTTGTGGGCCGACTTACTAAGGGCATACTTGTACTTGTACACTCTTTATTTTATGAGTATATAATCTAATGAAAGGGGCAGTCATATTAGATTTTTGGCTTCTCCCCATTCTCTTCTATCTCTCTTCTCTTTCTTTCTAGTAGAAACCTTTTCCTCTCTTCTTTCTCTTCTTTCTTTTTACAGATTTTATATCAAAACAGGTTATCAAAACTTTTCTACTTGGTACCAGAGCAAGTTCAAAGATTTCTTGAGCTGCTCCATCATGCAACCCTAGATCAGCCGACTACGTGATGAGGTAAAGGGTTGATCGAAGACTTCAGGTAAGCCCAGTTCATGGATTTTTAGGTGGATTTGCAGTCCCTTGTAGCTGGTCTAGGGTTTAATACCAAAATCAGAAAGAACTAGAGAAAGGGGGAGAGTCCTGATTTAGTAGTACTCTTCAATTTTGACCTAGGAAGTGGCGCTCTAGTTTTCTAGGGTTCCTTGAGTTTTTCTAAAGGGGGCGGTTCAAGTCCCAACTTTTTTGGAGGCCTTTGGAGGGAGCGACAACCTCTTCTCTCTCTTCTCCTGTTCCTATGGAAAAAATGAATGTTTGGAGGGATGGGCTTCTAGGGTACTAGAAAGGTGTTTGAGGTTTTTTGAAGGAGATAAATACCTATCTTTTCATCTCAAATTGATTTCCTAATCCTTTTCGGGAGTTATGGAGGG